CCATTCCATTTGTGTTAGCAAAGTTGTTGGAGAGGTTAGGGGTATGCCTGGCACAGTGAGCTGTGTGGCACAGCACAGGCCCCATACACCGGCCACTGATCTGCTCCCTTCCAAATCATGAGCAATCTAGGGGGAAGTTGTAGGAGGGAGCAGTACTCATCCCATGGTTATTAGAGAATGTGACTCTTCCTCGAACATGTGGGCTATGTCTAGACTGGAATGATTTTCCGCAAATGCTTTTAACGGAAAAGTTTTCCGTTAGAAGCATTTGCGGAAAAGAGCATCTAGATTGGCACAGATGCTTTTCTGCAAAAGCACTTTTTGCAGAAAAGCGTCCGTGCCAATCTAGGCGCACTTTTGTGCAAAAAAGCCCCGATCGCCATTTTCACAATCGGGGCTTTTTTGTGCAAAACAAATCTGTATAGTCACTTAACCCTGGTCTGCACCAGAAAAAGGCAATTTTAAGTCATGGTACCAGATATGTGTAACCAGCCTAGTTTAACAGTCTCCCCCCTTTCTGGTGACACAAACACAGACACAGCTGAGGTGGCTGAATGGTGGTTTATCAATTAGGGGGCTCTAAGAACCCTCCATTCCACCCCATAATGCAACTTCACCTCCCCCCAACCTTACAATGGAAAAGCAGCTTAAATAAAACTTTTAAAAAAGTAACAGGTGGGGAAGGAGTGCTAAACCTGCCCCCCCAAGGTTCCCCCACGAGGAAATTCACATTTCAACAACACCAATAGGTAATAAATAAGGAGGGATGGTTGGGTGAGGGGACAGTAGGGCTGATTTTGGGGGCTACTGGCACCACAGGAGCAGTGCTTACTGCACAGGAAAGGGGTGTAGGACAGTGGTTGCAGAAGGTGGGAGGGGGATGGAGGCAAGGTAACCTGGCCAACCTTTCCCCTCCACTATGGTGTGGAAAAAACAGGGAGTCCCCTGCCTCCCTCCCCCAAGCCAGAGAGGGGGCAGGCTAGAACCACCACTAAGTGCTACAATTCAACATCCCTCCTCCTCAAAGCAGGGGGCTTGCCAAACGGGGGAACAAAGAGGGAGTTAAAAGAACAAATTCCCCCAACTCCCCCCGGCTACTCCAACTCTCCCACACCCCAATAACTGAATCTAGCACTTCCTTGAAATATTCATTGGGAAACTTTCCCTCCGAATGAGAGTCCCCCCCTTGGGAGGCAAGATCAGGGCCCCCCAGCCATGGAAGGTGACTCCCCATCATAGCAATCTGTGCCAGGGGTACTTACTCTCCCTAAGCTATTTAAGTGTGGAAGGGTAGAGATCTCCCCCACAGAGGTAGGTCCTCCCTAAGAAATTAAGTCTTTTGTGGTGCAATATATTCCCCCCCCCAAAATCTCCCACCATGCTGTAATTTCCCCCCAAGTCTGCCCCCTCTTAGCTTTTTCTATGTGCAAAATACAGCTCTGGGCACCAGAGGGAGCTGTGTGTATGGGGGGAGGGGCTTCCCCCCAGATTTAAAACAGTGTCAGACTCTGTATCTTGTCCAAATTCTCCCCCCTTAGGCTAGGCCATAGGGGGGGTGGAAGAGTGCAGACGTGTGTGTGGGGGTGATACACACTGAAGATAACCCCCCCTACCCAAGAAAGGCAAGTTCCTCTGGTGATTATCCCCAGCTGAGCACAGGGAGAGCATGCTGCAGAGAGACAACCCCCCAAAAAACCAATCTTCCTTCTGGAATCGGGATGGAGGGGGTCATACTGCTGAAAGCCCCTCCCAGCATCCAGTGCCCCCTGCTGGTCCAGGGTGGGAGAAAGATGTGCGCTGCAGATCTGCTGCTCCCCATGCCTCCAGCCACTGGGGGGGGTTACGGTCCATTGGAGGGTGGTGGTAGATTTCCCCCTGGCTGGCTGTGGGGAGGGTCACTCCACACGCACAAGCAGGCCATAGAGCACGGTGGCGCCTTTCTCCTTGGTGACCCACTCTATCTCAGCCATGCTGAAACGAGGGTCCGGGGGCTCAGGGGCACCAGCTGATGGGGGGCCTGGCTTGTAGGAGCCAGGGCGCACACACACTTGGAAGGCCACCTGTGCCCCATGTTGCCGCTGTGACTTGGGGTCCCGGAATCTGCAGGGAGAAGAGGAGACACAGTGGGTCAAAGATTCACAGACTATTTCTAGTCCCACTATCCCCCGCCAGTGGCAACTGGGACTCTCTGCTCCTCCCTTACACCCACTGGCCTCTAGAGGTGGGACTCTGATCTCCCTCCCTCACCCCTGCTAGCTTCCCTTAACCGGGGCCAAGACTCACTGCTCTCAAGTGTCTTGCTCCCTCCTGCAGCAACTGAGACTCACTGCTCCACCCGAGGCCCACTGCTCCCCAGTGGCAGGCAGGACTCACTGTCCCCCTTAGCCCCACTAGTCCTGAGTGGCAGATGAGACTCATTGCTTTCCTCTCCCCTAGCCCAAATGCTCCCCAGTGGCTGGCAAA